TCTGTCTCTGGTGAATCCTCTTACCCTCCGCATCTCTGGCCTGTACCACAGTTCTATGTGAATAAATAAATCTAAAAAAAAAAGGGATTTCATTCAATAAAGATAAATCCCTTCCCATACATCCAACTTTCAAAATGGCAACACATTTCAAGCACTGTACAACCAAGTTTCATTACAATTAGGAAAGTAGTTTCAGAGCATATTCTTGGTAACTATTGTGATTTACATATTTTATATCAAGGAGTGCTTCTCATTATACATGCATTCTTTTTTTTTTTTTTAACTTTCTTTAAAGCATATTACAAATAGAAGACAAAAGAATGTATTATAGGCAGTTGTTATTGGTGGAAGAACAGTGGAACTGGCCAGACTGCTAAATGCTTTATATAAGGGATGAAACAGCATGGCTAAAGTCTAAGTAAAGAGAGCCAAGGTTTCTACTAATGCTGAGATTGGTATGTATCTACATATGTCACATGTTAAGTAGATCCCAGCTTCATCTTAGACAAAAATCAGCTGATTTAAGCAGAAATACACATTTAAAAAGGAGGAGATGACCCAACCTGGTGGCGCAGCGGGTTAAGACACAGCACTAAGAAGCTAAAGCCACTTCAGCATGAATTCAATCCTCGCCTGCCCCGGAGGTGACCACATGGTGTGGCAGACCTCTCCTGACCTGCCCAGTGCTCCCCTCAGCAGTCTACTTTATCGATCTGCCTGTTCTGCTTCCTACTCTGTCTCTGGTGAAGTTTCTCACCGCCCCTGCACCTCTGGCCTGTACCCCAGTTCTGCAACAAGAAATAAAAAAATAAAACTTTAAAAAAAAAAAACACAAAACTCCAAGGCAAACTAGTATTTTTCAGTCAGTATAACAAATAGTATTAACAATATTATCAAATTACTAAGATACACAAGCAGCTACTTTTTTTAATAAGCATTTCTACAAAAAGTCCACAAGTGCTAGAGCCAACAAAATGAAAGATGAAAATATGTTAATGGAAACAAAACTACTTTTTAAGTAAAGGAAATAATGTAGAGATAATTATTCTATGGCAAAGTATTTTGACATTTTATCTTAATGTTGACAAGGAACTCTGACTAGACACCTTGATCAAAATTATGTGGTGCCACTAGGTGTAGATGCAGCTGTGTGGTATTTGCACTAATA